ATGACAATATATAGTAAAATAAGTAAACAGATAGACCTGTACACATGATCAGATTGATGAAGATTTCGATCCATATTTCGTGGTAAAAATTTCATGAAGATACAAACATTCAATTTCTTTTTTTCCTTCAGTTATTTTATTACACGACCATAAACTATAACAGTGGACGAATAGAGTGCCACCGTCTCGCCGACACGGACTTGTTTTTATTTTATTTTTCTTTCCTTTCATACCTACATCGTTGACCATAAGGATCCCCGATTGTTTTTCGACGACGTGATTTGTTTCGGCCGCTAATTAAAGATTGACGTTTGATTTTTCACGACTCATCTAATGATACTTCATGGCACGTCCGTCCCGTGTAAGATTACGTTCATACTTTAATTATTAATATTACAATTAGGGATCAAAATAAATAGAACATTGATTGAATTATTCATGAATTATTTGTTTGACGTTCATTTATGATTGTTTACTAAACTAGATAAATGAGTATAAATAAAATTTTAACGTTGATTTAATAAACAAATGAACACAAATAAAAGTGCATTCATTTTATTTATATTCACGAACAAGCTCGTTTATAAATTCATTTACATTGTTCTCATTTTCCTCTTATTTTTGTATATTTTAGGCAAGGACTAAATTGAATATATGATGAGCTTTGAGTCCAAGCTGTGAAGCTTAAAGACTAGTGGTGCAATTTCACGCTAAACGAACATGTGATGAATATATAAACAAACATGATCGCAAAAGCTAAACAAACAAAACACCTTAATAAATAAATAAATAAACACAAACACGATATCAAAAATTTAAACAAATCGCTTGAACACCTTTAACAATAAACAAACAAACATAAACAAAACCTTATTCACAGGTAATGAGAACACCCTTGACTTTAACCTACCAAAACCTTATTGATTTCCTAATTAATTACTCAATGTTCATATATTTGTGCCGTTCCAGAATTGCCATCCACATTTTCCAAGCTCTTCCAATATAATAATATATTCATAGTGAGACAATGAACATATTGCTTGAGCTGGACGTGTCTCTATAAATTTGATGATATTATCTTTGAAGCCACGAGTGTGGGTATGAACTTTCAAATCTATAGATTTCGATTTGGTGACTTTCAAAATAATTAAATAAAAATTGAGTACTTTTATTTATTTATTTCAAAATTAATAGGAACTTAAAAAGTCATTAAGTTAAATAAATTAAAGAATATTAAAAACTCATATTCATTTATAAATCGGAAGATATTTTACATTTAAATTAGTTTAAACCAACGTCTCTTACATATTACAATAATAAAAATATTAATTAAATTAAAATTTAACCATTTGATAACCTACAAAATGTGTCCCTTTCAAGTTGCTAAACTTGTGCAGATTATATTGACTTATAACCTACAAAATGCGTCCCTTTCAAGTAGCTAAATTGTGAAGACAATATTGAAAAGACAAAGTCCAATATTCAAAATGTAAAATAATTAAATTTTAGAAATACCATTAAATTTAAAACTAATATAATTATATTAATAGATTTTGATTTTAGTTTCAATTATATCTGTAAATCTTTAATCTACTAATATTCAAATAACACAATAGTTGTTAACAACCAAAAAATTATTATTATTTTTATTTTACTTCATCATCATTTTTATTAAAATTATAATTCTTTTTATTCATTTCTAGTCACGTCGAAAACTGCCATTTTTCAATAGTTTTTACGGCCACTATAAAATAGATAGATGCAAAATTTTATGTTAGGAACGTACTTTAGAAATGGACAAATTTATAAAATTTCAGGAGATAATTTTTTTTAAAATAAAAATATATAAAAAAAATTAAAATATATGGTAGTTTTACAATTTCAGAGGGGTGACTGCCCCTATTTGCCCTCTTGATCCATCCCTGACCCTAGACATTGATAAATTTGTCTCATCATCTTCTACCACTCTATTGATATAAATTTTTCAAAAGTTTCTTTAAAATCCATGAAATTAAACACGAAAATCTACCATTTTGAAGGATTTAGGAGTTTTATCAAATTTGAGGGGTTAGGATGTTTGTTTAAAAATTTGAAGGGTTAGAAACGTTAATTTAAAAATTCAAATAGCATACTTCAAAATTAGTCCCATTAGATGGGAAAGGAGTATTATCACATTAAAACTTTAAATGATTTTTTATAAATTTTGAGTGAGTTTCTTGAAAAATTAATTTGATTATAGAAAATAGTAAAATGTAAATATTTTAATATTAATTTTTGTTACGAATGACAATTAGGAATGAGCTATAGTTGAGTGCTAACAATGTTTGGAAAGTTGATTGCTTAAAATTGAGATGTCTCTAAATTGTATTCACAAACTACAGCTAATGGAAAAGAATCACATCACCGTACCATTTACCACTTAACAACCTAATAGTATAATTTATATACAAAACTAAATTTAGTACTACAATGACAATAATTTAAAATTTAATGATAAATCCTATAAAAAACTAAAATTCAATGATGTATGAAATAATTTACCCTATTTTAATATTTTTTTTTATTAAGCCAAGGTGTCCATACAAAATTTAACCACTAAAAAAATTTGATCATTGTCGACGAATGTTGATATAAGTAATTGAAATTTAAGAATTTGAGTTTGTAAGATTAAGTTCGAATCCTACAATTATCATTTTTTGTGGCAATTTAAAATTCTTATAAAAATTTTAATTGAATCTTAAATATGTCACGATCCTAAATTGAGAGAACTATCCTTAACCTACATTTTTTTTATAAAAAAATTTTGACCATTGAATTTGCAATCACTTTAAAAGAGGGAAATAAAAATTAACATGTTTTTTTAACTAGCGTGCAAAAAGGAGACATAAGCCGTGATGTCTTACAATTGAACACGTAAGATGTGATAAGTTCAAAGGTTGATAATTTTTGTAAACATGCTGATAATCAATTATACCTCAAAATACGATAGGATGATTAAAAAAAATTCGTCAATAATAATTGTTTATGTTTTCTCTGTTATAACGTTAAACGTTGTTAGAAAATTTCATTAAATAATATGTGTCATATTTTAATAATTTTAATAATTTATTTAAAAAATTTAAAAAATATTTTTTATTAAAAAAACCGGTGTTCTCCTTCTCCCCTCCCCTTTTCCCTCCTCCGTCTTCTCCCTTCTCCCCTCCCTGTAACCTTCTCAAACACCCAAAGGCCGATTGTCACGACCAACCATCACATTCAATCAAATGATAGATTATCACGATCAATTTAATGGAATTTTTAGAGATTTGAAATCCTAAAACGAAATCTTTTATTACACCGTTTTAAGTGTTTGATCAGTTGTGAAAGTATATGGGTTTTGGTCGAGGGTAATTGATCTATTACACATCATTGGATGTTCGGTCAAAAGAATAAAATTAAGGTTTTAAAAGTTGAGGTTTTTTAAGATTTAAAAAATTTAAGGTTTTTTTTTAAATTATGTTTTTTACTTTAAATAAAAATTCTCATCATAACGTGACATGTATTACTTAACGGAGATTTTTAACGGTAGTTAACGCTTGAAAACCTAAAATAGTAACGAATAAAACGTTAAACATTTATTATTAAAAAACAATTTTTAGACATCAAATTATACTTCGATGTATAACTATTGTAAATTATATCTTGACTAACTAAAATAAAATGAATAAAGAGTAAATATTATTATATTTATATACCAGCCAATTAAGTGACGAAAAAAAGCAAAATAAGCTTTTATGATAAACCTGAACGTAAGAAGAAAAATGACGAGATAAATTTCATTCAGTTACTAACATTAATGGACCGACCAACGGATCTTTTGATAGTCGACACATGTAGTGAGGAATCCAACGGTTCCGCTGGACTGGGTGAGGTCTTTTGATTTATCCAAAGCCTCCCAAAAAAAGAAAAAGAAAAAGAAAAAAGAAACAGGTTCCTATGTACTTTTGGGGCAATACTTGTTTGTTTCTCGAGAAAATGGTTTCGTGCCTACTTTGGGTAAGGCTGAAAAAATGGTTCCCGGAAAATTGTGGGCAATTTGCACCTCTATCCTGACACAAAGGTCTTTGATTGGTCAGGAAATGGACACGTGTTTCATTTTGGGTGCTTCATACTTTTTCTTTTTTCCATGCTGTTATTTCACATATTATACACAAACGGAGGATTACAGTTATAATAATTAGGTAAAAGTAATGGATAACAATTAAAAAAATATACTTACTTTGTTACATATAGTCCAATTTTAATTTTAAAAAAACTATACAAATATATAATGCTTTGAATATATAAAAAATCTATAAGAAATTGAATATAGTTACCTTAATACATATTTTATGTATCTATGTCATGCTGCGTGGCCAATTGGATATTGTTTCTCAGAACGCAAATAGGAACAATTAAAAATACGATTTTTAATTTTTGAAATTCTAACTTCGAATATACTAGGTGAGCGTGCGATCGAGTCGAGTCAAAAAAATTTGAGTTATTCAAATTGATGAGTCTTATTTTATAACTCGAAGTTGACTTGAAATTATTTCAAGTCGAATCGAGTCAAATTTTTGAGTTTTTGTTTAAATTTAATCGTAAATGTTTACAATATTATTACATTATTTGATTCCAATTTAAATTATATTTTACAATCATATACAATGTATATATATATTTTCATATATGATTTACATATACCATAAAAGTCGAGAGACTCGACTCAAACTTGAAAACCAATCTACTAGTTATTAAAAATTTCGAGTTATCAGACTTATATTTTATAACTTGATTTGAATTTGAATTTTTTTCGAATCGAGTGGAGTTTATGAAATTACAACTCAAAGTCAATTCGAGTCGAGTCGAAAAAATTGATTTTTCGAGCCGAGTTTTGCTCACCCGTAAATTAATTGAACTGAATTCGGTGTTTAAACTAATTTATTATCCTTGCAAATAGAAAAAATGGATTACAAGTTCCATAAATATGAAGAGAATGGAAGAATAAAACAGATATATAGTAGCTGACAACAAATTATACAGAGTTATGCTGTAATTGTAAAGAACATGAAGTGACCTATTCTTCCGACTTCGCTCCCTCTACGGAGCGAAGATAGAAGAAAATATAGAGTTATGCTATACCGACACGGTTTATCGAAATCGATCGAGCATTTGCACTCACATTCCTGATATTCATCTACAACATGACAACCATCTTCACTGCAAGTCCTCTCCGATCCGACAGTGTAAGAGATATATACATAGATATGCATAAGTTGCAAGATTGTCATGTTGGAGCATTAGCAAATTAACAATCTGACACGAAAAATACGATAAAAATATTTCGTTCACTTGCTAGGGTACCGAAAGCTCGAAGTAATGCACTCTTTTTAAGTTCTTTACCGTCTATGCTAGCTCTCAATCTGCATCTTTCACTTCTGCTTCAATATCAACAACCGGACCCGAAGAAACGTTTCCTGAACAAACCATGTGAGATACTAGGAATTAATGAACCGATGAACTTAAATTAACATGCTTATCTGATATACAGTCGATGTTTATAACATGCTTATTTCGTGTTCTTGATGTAAAATATGTACAACATGAATTGATGGATAGAAGAATCATGATTTTAAACGCACAACGTGCTTTTGTCATGTTGCAAAATAACATGTTCTGTTTCTCATAGAACTGTCGCATTTTTAAGCTTCTGCCTTTTTCCAGGACCGGTTTTGTACGACATGAAAACGATTCGAGTTGATTATGTTAGATAAAACAAAACTTGACTAGCTGGGAAACATACTAATCCAGTTATAGTATCACGGCACATGTCAGTTAATGCTAAATTCTGTACGAAAATAATTCCAATACACCAAGATATCAGGTGTTAAAGAGGGCACCTTTCTTGAAACCGGGAGAGAAGCCATTGGATGCTTGTTTTGCTTTCGAGGCTTCGTTGGAGAACTTCACGGGTTCCTTGACAAATTTGTCATCCACCACTACATTTAAATCAACAAGTTAATAAAACATGAAAAGCTAGTGAATCCGACTCGAAGTAATAATGAAATGGGCATAAGGTAGTCCGGATAGCTATCGGCCGGATTATCCTGCCTACTCAATGGAGACATCTTCAGGAGTCTAAACACAAAGATGTGTCAATTAATATAAATAGATTCACCTGAAAATGGTTGACTGCAGTAAGGGCACAGCTGCAACTCATCGTTTAGAAACGACCTAAGAGATAGTCATTACCATCTGTGTCAGAATAGATACAAAACCATCTCATAAAAGTCCATAAGTTAGCTTAGCGGTGTTTGAAGAGCTTACTTGAAAATCTGAAATCATTTCCACAATTTGGGCACTGCAATCATATAAGATATTATTAAAGGTGGTCAGCGATAGATGGAGTTTCATATGTTTATTCACATTATTAAGAACACCAAGTACACCACAGCCGTCTCGGAAAACAATACTGAACAATATTGGATATACAAAAGCACACACAAGGAGTGTTTAATGTAAACATCAGAATAACATATACATGAACAGTCAGACAACAAGGCTCTGGCAATTTCACGACCGCGTTTCGGAAACTAAAACAGTAACATATTTGATTCTTAGAAGCACAGACAAGGAGTGTTAATGTAAACATCACAGTAGCATATACATGAACATTCAGACGACAAGGCTCTTGCAATTCCAGGGTTTAAGCGGGCCAAATCCATATTTGTATATACATATAAACCCGTAACTACATAAGCACTTTAAACCGATAAGTTCATTTCATTCTTTCAATAACAACCTTATCCAGAGAATTTAAAAAACATGAGACCGAAGATCAGAACTGCTGCTGAAGCTACTGACCACATTGACAAAGATATGCAAATAGAAAACTTCGCGCATAGCTTTGAACAAGGAACCAAAAGTTAAAGAAGACTTACACTGCTTTGAACAATATCCCTCCCCGCCCACCAAAGGAAGGCTCCCACACCAACAATAGGAACGAGCACTGCAATGAGCTGGCGATGACAACACCGGAAATTAGATGCAACTATATGAATTAATATAAATATTGAAAGTCCTAATCTTAGTAAATTATATAAGAAGGTACACTACTTGAGATGGTTTCACAGTACAAAAATGGTGCCAACACAACACAACGGCTAATGCTACATAGTCAACTAGCACTGATTTATTCATTGATCTCCAATGAAACATTGCATCAAAATTTAGAAGGAAAAGGAAAATAAAAACTTTCTTAATTCAGCCAATACCAGTAAACAGTAAGGTAAAGCCTTTGCTTTTAGCCAAGAAAATGGAAGAGCAAAACAAACCAGGAAGAAGGGGAACCATGGTTAATTCTCATCATAAACCCTAATTATATCTACTGGATGCTCATAATTCATGTTAAAAAACACAGTAGAAAGCTAAACTTTACATGCATACATATGAAAAGGAGAAGGGATTAATACCCAAATAGAGACAATAGCATCTAAAACCCAGCCAAGCTGACCAGTCACTGAAAGATAAGTCAACCCGATAGCAAAAGCAATATTTCCCAGAAGCCTAGCAGTGTCACTATTAATTTTCCCACCACCATCACCACCGCCGCCGCCGCCATTAAACCCAAATCCTTGACTAAACATCACCAAAACCAATCTTTTCTTCCTCTTCCACCTTTCTTCTTTCCGAAAAATCCCATCTTTGTCCCTACAAACTTCACCAAATGTCCATCTTTGCCTCGCAAAAGCTCCCAACTTGAACCTTTTTGGCCGCAGAGAAACAGCTCTGGGAGTTTTTATCGAGCAACAGCAAATGGGTTTTTCGCAAAACTCTTCGTTTAATGAACCGGAGGGTGAGAACTTGAAGGTGATTTGCAGAATTGTTGCCATTAGCTAAGTTCTAGAAAAGTACTGATTTTGGATTGTGTACTGATAATTTCATGACTTGTATGGTACTAGTAGTAGTTTCCAAATCAAACTGTATTTTATCTTTTGAAAGTGTGCCACGTGCGTGCTCTCTGTTGATATCATCTCTTTTTTTTTTCTTGTTCCAACTGGATATCGAGTCCAATGATGTTTTGTCTAATTGTCTTAATAATTAACACATACTTCCAATAAATTTGCAGATTAATTTCAACTTGAATATAACAAAATTATTAACGGTGTTGATTTTTTTAAAAATATATATATTTTATAATTTAATAAAAAATTAAATCATTGTGATACATCAGAATTTGTTCTCATTAGTAACTACACCTCTAAACAAATTACTTTGAAGATAGCTTAGTTAGAAGAGCGTTAAATTGAAGAACTAAAAATCACGTGTTCGAATCGACATTCGTCGCATTTGTTTAAAATATTTAAAATATCATTTATAAAAATTTGATCTTACATTCATTTGTGCAGCATCCATATGTCCTGATGTTTTTTTGCATCCAAATTTCTGCTCCTTTATAATCATAAGCTGTAAAAGATAAAGGTGGGGGTAAAAGACACCAGCTATACCAAGTGCAGTAAAAGATAAAGGAGGTAAAATATGACCCGGCCTCTGATGCATATCCTGCAGTTGTACCAGGAACTGGCTTGATGAATGAACCTACGGGAGAGCTTCTCTGTACAGCTTCGCAGAAAGCAAGGAGACGTTCCCCACTTCCAAGCTGCACTGCCTGAAAAGAAGAGAAAAATGATTTTTCCGTATGTTTCCATCATTTTGTAGAAAAAAAATGTAGAAAAAACGAAAATATTGATGAACTAATCAGAATGTAGAACCATTTCTTAAAACAACAATACTCTTATAATATAACATATCTACTATAGAAATGCAACAAACATAGGGTAACCATGAACAGTCAGAAAGCAAACCTGTACTGTATCATTCCGAGGGACTCGAGGATGAGGCTGTACCTTATACCCTTCAGAAGCATATAACTTTAGCAACCAGAAAGGTTCCCTGGATATAAAGACGAATACATGTTTTTGATTGCTGGATTGAAAGGGCAAAACGGAATAATAAATAAACAAAATTAGTGGGCTAAGAACATGCTCAATGCACCTTAATTGCCTCGCCAACCATTCGGGGTGCAAGAAACAACCCCTGGAAAAAGGCACGCATAATATCGCCAGGTGTTAAGCCACAGTCAACTCCAAGGCCTGGTGCCGATAAACGAGCTGCTGCAGCATCGACCCAGTTTTTACTACCAGCAACATATCCACCACATGGTGCGATGATTCCACCGGATTCTTTATCGAACTTCCGGCAATCAAATCTGCACCCTGCCCACCGTTGAAAACCATTGTGACCCTTCTTCAGGAAAAAAGAAGTGAAATACTCCACCTACCACCATTGGAGGCTCAATGCTTTCCACAAATTCACCATAGCAATTATCCACCATGACCAAGCAGTTGGGGTTCTGTTCAAACGAGAGGGGACGTCAACTGGGTGAAAGAATTACGATTCCCGAACTAAAAAGAAAAACAAAATGATTGTAACTAAATAAGATGCTAATATATCAAGAAATTTCAAGATAATATCCCATGTTTCCTTTTTCCACGATTTTTCATTTTCCACCTTTCAGACAGGAGAATAATGAATAATATTTTAATGAACTAATAACAACATTCCCTGCAAAGCGAGACAATATAAATTATAATTAATAGCAAAATTACGAAGAGGAAAATCAATACGCTGAGAAGCAGAGCATGGCGCACGATTGCAACTATCTCTCGGCGTACATTAGCAGGACTAATGGAAACTGATTTGCTGCAACTGCGTTCTCGGCGATTCGCTCGTTTCTTCTCTGGTTTCCTTCATAGTCTCTCTTTTCTTTTCTTCATCATCAGTGTTTCAAAGGTTGCCTGGGTTTATGATGGATTGGCGAAAGCTTTTCTCGTGCTCTGCTGGAAATCAACTTCGATATTTTCCCCCAAATTTGCGTGATGGAACGCCGACAGTTCACCCACCACCTGAAGTTTTCAAAGAAGGAATTGCAGAATGGAGACTCTCACTAGTTGGGCACTTCCTTGGAGCAGCACCAAAGTTTTCAGCGCTACAACAGATTATAGATAATTTGTGGAAAAAACCCTTACAGGGTGCTTCGGTACAAACCAGTTATGCAGGTAATAATCTATACCTCTTCTCTTTTAATTCAAAGAAAGCTAGGGATTGGGTTATGGAGAATGGACCTTGGCATATTTTTAACAAACCCTTAATTCTTCGTAAATGGGAGCCTAACATGACTAAGCTAGATTTTGATCTGTCTAGAATTCCATTATGGGTACATTTATATAATGTTCCCCTGGAATTGTTCTCGAACGAAGGCCTGAGCTACGTAGCAAGTGCAATTGGCTTTCTGCTTTCTATGGATTCTGTCACAGCATCCAAAACTAGGCTTGAATTTGCTAAAGTCTGTATTGAGATAGGGGCAAACGATTCTATCCCTATATATATCGATGTTATTCTGAGTAATGGCCAAACTGCTTCAATTGTTGTTGAGGTGCCTTGGACTCCTCGTTGTAAGAATTGTAACGTGTTTGGTCATATTACAAAACGATGTAACCAATTCGCTAATTCTTCTCAAGATCCTTCACTTGTCTGGAGGAAAAAGGAATCTACAAATCCATCATCTCTTGCTCCAGAAGTTCATAGTACTGCTGATAATCTAATCCATGATCTTAGTAAAGATAAAGAAGAAGTGATTAAATCAGGAACTGATTCGCATACTCAAGATAATGTTTTGGCTGATTCTGGTACTCTTAATTCTTCCTTCACTATTAAAGATCCATAAACTGCTGTTGCTTCCGTTCTTAGAGAAGAAGGTAGCTCTAAGTCTTCCGAATCTGACATGAAAATAGATTCCTCTTCTAATCCTCAAGTAAAGAGGGGCAGGGGTAGGCCTACAAAAACAACTAAAGCCTTTACAGGTTCTTCCAATAGATTTGATTTACTCAGTTCGATTGACGAGACACGATCTTCCTCAGAAAACCTTGTTGATAAATCTCGAGCTGCTACTCCAGGGGTTGATGAGCTGATTAAAGATCTCAAATTAAAAAAAAAGGCTCACATAGAAAAACACAACGGAGCCTCAGTAAGTAGTAATGGAGGAGACATGGGTTCCTCGTCACAGGGGAAATGATTTTTGCATTCTGGAACGTAAGAGGGTTAAATAACCCTCTTAAACAAGGCAATGTTCTTAAAAGGGTTGCCAATTATAATGTTACAATCCTCTGTTTGATGGAAACTCGCGTGAAAGTGGACAAATCTGCAAATATTCTTGCTACTTCCTTTGCAAATTGGAATTGTATTACCAATTATGATTTTGCGGAGAATGGAAGAATTTGGTTACTGTGGAGAAAAGATATTGCTCTATCTTTATGTTATGTCTCGGCTCAAAGCATCATTGTTAAAGGATTGTTTAAGGACGAGCCTTTCATTATTACTGCAATCTACAGTGGTAATAATGGAATTTTTAGAATACAACTATGGAATGATCTTAGACATATTGAAGCTAATTTTAGCAACCTTCCCTGGAACTTGGGAGGCGATTTCAATGTAATTCTGCACAATTATGAGAGCTTAGACACTGAACTTATGGGAACGATCACCTCTTCAGATATGTTAGAGTTTCAAGAAGCTACTCAAGATCTGCATTTGCAAGATCATCCTTTTTTTGGACCTACTTTTTCATGGAGCAACAAGCAAAGTGATAACTTTTTGGCTCGGAAACTTGACAGAGTTTTAATTAATCCTTCATGGTTTGAATGTTTCCTACATTCTCATATGGAATTCATGGCTCCGGGTCCTTCTGATCATTGCATGGCTCTGGTGAACTTAAGTAAAGAGGTCCATTCTAGTGGACCGAAACCTTTTAAATTCTTTAATTGTTGGGCACTTCACCCTAATTTTCTTGAAACTGTGAGACAATCCTGGAATTTAGAGACTAACGGCAATCCCATGATGATTTTATTCGCAAAGCTTAAACGTCACAAATCTAGTCTCAAAAATCTCAATAAGGAATGTTTTAGTGACATTTCGGCACGAGTCATTCAAAAGAGAGTTGAACTCGAAATGCAACAACTACTTACCTTGAAAGGTGATGGTTCCTTGGAGAGAGAGCTTGAGCTACAGAGAGAATTCGACTTGTTAGAAGAAGCTGAATCGATGTTTTTGAAACAAAAAGCTAAAGTGCATTGGATTAAGGAATGTGATAGATGCACAAAATTCTTTCATTCGGTCGTTGCTACCAAGAACAAAAGACAAACTATAAGATCTCTAGTCAACAATCAGGGAGATAGACTTGATTCTTTTGAAGATATGTCAGTGGAAATTATTGAATATTTCAAAAATTTATTAGGTTCTAAAGATCCTAATACCAAAAGCTACCCTGCATCTCTACTTAAAGATCTGGTCCACCCTATTTCCTCATTGGAAAACATAGAAATGCTTGTTAAAGAAGTTACCAATGAGGAAATTAAAGAAGCCATTTTCAGTCAAGGCAATGACAAGGCTCCAGGTCCCGATGGATACTCCTCCTTATTCTTCAAAAAAGCCTGGTTGGTGGTTGGTAATGATGTTCTCAAGACTGTCAAGTATTTCTTTCAGGAATCTTTTATCTGCCCGACTTTTAACTCGACCTCTATTGCTTTAATTCCTAAAATGCCAAATCCGAGCAAAGTTTCTGATTTCTGTCCTATTTCTTGCTGTTCGGTGATCTACAAAGCTATTACTAAGATCCTTTTTAATAGGATAACTCCTATGCTTCCCAGAATTATAGCTCCAAATCAATCTTCTTTTGTCAAGGGAAGAAGTATAATTGACAATACTCTTCTTGCTCAAGAGATAGTCAAAGGTTATGAGAGGAAATCCATCTCTCTGAGATGTGCTTTAAAAATTGATCTTCAGAAAACATTTGACTCCATTAATTGGGAATTCATTTAAGCTGTCCTTAAAGCTTTGGATTTTCCATCCAAAGCCATTGAATGGATTACTGCGTGCTATTCGAATGCTCGTTACTCTATTCCTTTTAATGGAAGCTTGATTGGCTACTTCAAGGGTGATAGGGGGATAAGACAAGGGGATCCACTATCCCCTGTTTTATTTGTTATGATTATGAATGTTCTGTCCAACCTCCTCAACACTGCTGCTTCTAAAGGGATGTTTTCTTTTCATCCGAAATGCAAGAATCTTGGACTCACTCACCTATCTTTTGCCGACGATTTACTTATCTTCTGCAAAGGAAATCATGAGTCAGTTTTGGGTGTCATCACTGTCTTGGACTGCTTCTATGAGTTTTCTGGACTTAAACTAAATGCTGGAAAATGTGAAATTTTCACGGCTGATATTTCTTCCCTCAACATCAAATCTATCATAAATTCTACTGGTTTTAATCATGGACGATTACCTATTCGTTACTTGGGTGTCCCTTTGGTCACCAAGAAACTTACTGCTAAAGATTGTCAAGCCCTTCTTGATAACATTAAAAACAGGCTACACCAATGGTCAAGGAAGTATACGAGTTATGCAGGAAGGGTGGAGCTCATTAAGACTGTTTTTTATAGCGTTGCAAATTTTTGGTGTAGGCAACTTGTCTTGCCTCTTTCCATTATCAAGAAAATTGAACAATTGTGTTCAAGATTCTTTTGTAAAGGTTCGGATACAAAAGCTACATGAGCAAGGGTGAGCTGGAGAAATATTTGTTATCTAAAGTCAGAAGGTGGTTTAGGTCTAAAGGATATTAAATCCTAGAACTGTGCGAACTTAATTCTACTTACCAGAAAACTTCTTGCAGGTCAAGGATCATTATGGGTAGCCTGGACTCATATTAATACTATCAAGAACCAAGATTTCTGGACCATGACTGAACCTCTTAATTCGAGCTGGATATTTAAACATATTCTGAAAATACGAATAATGGCCAGACCGTTGCTGCTATCTTCTGCGAGTAACACTAAGCAAATTTGGGAAGATATCCGGCCGAAAAAAAAGCAAAGTATCTTGGCATAATCTGCTCTGGTTTTCTCTCCATGTTCCAAAGCATAGCCTTATTTCTTGGATGATCATACTATGATCATACTAGATCGTCTTCTAACCAAGGACAGATTACAACGTTTTGGGATTCCTACTAATGCTGATTGTATTTTCTTCCATGATGGAATTGAAACCAGAGATCATCTTTTTGCCACTTGCAGGTACACGGCTACAATATGGAGTTCTCTGCTCCAACTGTCCGGGTTGAACTTACAGTTCAACAACTGGTCCAGTCTGCTCGAATGGGCAGCAAATTCATGGTAGGGTAAGTCCTTGATTTCCACTATTTTGAGGCTCTCTTGGTGCGGTCACAATTATGTCATTTGGGAGGAAAGAAATTGTAGGATATTCAAAGGCAAGAGTCGTACTGCTGAAGAAATTATCAACTATGTTAAGATGATTGTAAGGGCTGTCCTAACTAATAGGAACATTAATAGGAATGATAGCAGAAATTTAGTTTTATGTAGTAATTGGGGTATTAATTAATTTTGTTTGTACATTGGTTCCCCATTCTTTGATACTCTGATTGCACTGTTTTGTAGCAGTATTATGCTATTCTTGGGTAATAAAACTTAATTATCCAAAAAAAAGACAATATAATTTGTCAGTGTAATTTGTAATGAGGTCATCTAAAGCCGAAACCCTTAGATTTTATCGCGGCAGTGAGGTCATTTCAATGACTATAAATGAAGATAACATGGTTTAATTAATAACAAAATAGTAACCAAATAAAACACTCATCCAACGTTTATTTCCTTTGACATTTGATGATGCTAATTTGACTTGCGCTTTTTCTATGGATGCTTTGGATTCTAGGTGCTGAGATTCCATGGGACTTCTCGCAAGAACACCTGCCGCTCCACATATCGTGCCTCCCGGCACCATCACGCCACGCCATGAGGACGTGTTCATGAGGAGAGCCGATCCTCCATCGGCACCGGCGACGAGCTCTCAACCGGATGTGCGAGAAGAAATGCAAGGCGTACAAGGTCGCCTCGCCTTCATTGATTCCAACCTCACCAAGATTCTCTCCTACTTGCACGCGGGGTCATCTCGACGCAGCCGCGATCACGACTATAATTAATCAGGGAATATTCCTTTTTCCTCTCCTTTGCATTTTAATTTTGATTTACGTTTTGAGACAAAACGATTTAAGTGGGGGAGGATATTAGTTAGATTTTCCTTGCTTGAAATTGAGTTTTTGATATTGACATGCTTGAATAATTTGTTGCCAAGTCTTTTATTTCGTTGAGTAATTTGGTTGTTTTCTGATGAATTGTCTAATTTTACTTTGAATTTGATGTTGAATGCATGATGGTTCGTTGGTCTAGCTAGTTAATTTTTTTTTGAAATTATGATTTTTCATGGTTGTTGATTAATTGATGCATGTACTTTATTCATTGAACCAATTTTGGTGAGGCTTGGGCTTAATGAGCATGAAATTTTTATTTTCGTTCTTGCTCTTTGTTTCTTTTAGTGTGCCGAGCATTGTTGTTGTATTCTAGAACTTGTAGTTTGATTCTTTTTTAGGCTACTAAATTTAATGTTTTTTGTATGATAGAGGCATTAGGATTAAACATTTTCTATTCCCAAAAATAAATTGCCTACCTTTAGTTTATTTTTCTCTTAGATGGCCAATTTTGAGCCTCTCTTGTCACCCGTTTTCAGGAAGAGGTAAGGTTATTCCTTCGGGAAAAAATACAGAGAAAAGAGAGGAGCAATGTTCGAAAAACAAAACAAAAAATACACTGTTTGAACAGTGCAAAAAATACTGTGTTGATTCAAACAGTGCTGAAAAATCAGTGAAAAAATCAGTTTGGTTCAAACAATGCAGAAAAATAATTGGAAAAAAATCAGTTTGGTTTGAACTGTGCGGAAAAAAATACATTGCAGCATAAAAAAAACAGCAGGCTCGAATCGAAAAAACAAGAAAAGTTCGAAAAAGGAGAGTTTGTTGTTTCTTTTCGCTTGCTTCCTTTAGAATAAATTTTGGAATGATATTCTCTTTTTCCTGAAACTTAAACCTGATTTTTGGCCTATTTCCTTACCCAAACCTTAGCCAAGTTACAACCCGAATAAAGACCTCTCGACTTCTGCATTGATTTCATTTTTAAGTAGTGGAGATTAGATTAAACTACAAGCTTATGGTTGTGCTTTAAATTTGCTTTGGCTTGAGCATTTCTTGTCCTTAAACACTTAGAGCGAATCAACGAATCCTTTGTGAGGCAATCAAGTTGTGTATCATGAGATTAATAGCTATTGAAATGTCTTTTCTCGATTGTTTCTTAGCTTAGTCACTTGCTTGAAATGCTTCATGAGTTTTAATTCTTTGCTTAATTGTGGTTTATTGGAACAATTGAATTATGAAATGAGTTAGGGAGTGGCAACCTATGTTCTTAGCATGTTGGTTGAGAAGTGTGTGAGAACAAGCATTAGATAAGTGAGGGGAAATTTGACTGATGTTTATTTTGTGCTTAAATGCTATTTGTTTGTCCATGTTTACTACTGAATTGGATGTTTTTACATGTTTTTTTTGCATAGCGATCACTGTTGGAAAATGTGCTAAAAAGGGCTGAAATCTGCACTTTTTGTTCTGGGATCAAGATTGCAACAGTGGGCATGAATTGCTGATGTGACAGTGAGTTAGTAGGTTCTAAAAGGTCCATTCAACATCCAGTCATCACCCAATCAGCGAGCTTCTAGAAGATTGACGAACGACTATGCATTTCAAGCACATTCAAATTCAAGATTTAGGATTTATCTTTTAGATTAAATTCAAACTATTTTTCAGAATTATCTTTTGTAATTGTATTTGAATTGTCTTTAGCATTTCCAGGGTTTTAGAAGGCTACCAATACCTTTCAAGGTAAGCCTATTTCATATCTCGAATAACCAGAAACATTTTTCTTTTTTGTTCTTTCTTTCTTTTCTTTTAGTTTTATAAAATTTCTCGTTCTCTTTTACTTGTCTATATTCCTTTTCAAGTTTTTGTTTTTAAAATGCCAAGTATGACTTTTGCATTACTTAGCTAATATTTCCTTTAAGCCGAGGCAAAAACGATGACTCAATTCTAACGAGAGAATTGAATAACACTTCAGTAACTTTGGAATTTCTCTCTCAACCTCTGCGCTTATTTTCAAAATCTAAACAAATTTTTAAAACCAAAGATAGGCTTCGGCCTCATATTATTTTCGTGATTATATATGTGGGAGGAAGAATCGGCTTATTAAAAGCATATTTGATTTCCTGCGAACACAATTAGCAAATTGATCGCTAAAGAGGGAATTAAGATCGGAAATGTTTTTATTGAAATAACTAATCCGAGTTGGTTTTAAATGCGTTTAAACAGATCTTCATCTTCAACAATTGATGTTGAGTAGATTAATTTCCAAAACCGGAATCAAAGATAGTCTTAGGTATTCGGTATATAATTTTACCTACATGGAATGCCATTGAAGATAAAGTAACTGATGTGAATCCCGAATGATAAATCTATTTCTATGATCCAAAGAATTTGAGCCATAGCTTTTGCTCGAGGCTGATTTAATCAATCGAATTTTCAGGTTTTATTTTCCTTTTTATTGTCTTTATTTTCTTTAATCTTCTTTTTCTTTCTACTTCTATTTTATTATTTCTCTTCGACCAAAAATACCCCATTTTAATTCTTTCACTTAAATTCACGTCAAAGGTCAAAATCAAAAGCGAAGAATTTCATCTAACCTCGTAGTCTCTGTGGGATCGACCCTTACTTCTCCTATACTACTTAATTTCCTTTATTTATTTATTTGAGATTATTTATTTATTTGAGAAGAAATGAATTTATTTTGACGTGCAAAACGACAATCGTCAATACTATTAGGATATATTCTTATAATAATTAATATTAGAAAGTAGCAACTTAAGATCATATAAAGATCAAACGAAAATGTTAAAATCTTAGGCAAAAAACTAGAACAAAAGATAAATACAAACAAATACGATTGCATTGATAAACGAAAACATACCAAGAATCAAACAATTGATTGACTATTGACAATCATAAATCAGAGTCAAGTATCGCGAGAAAATTATTTCTGAACACAAACAACATATCAACATCCAATCCGAGAGTCCAAAACAGAGAAGATCATCAAGATAACAATAAGTAATATCTTAATTAGTCAAAGCGTCGTCAAATTCAACCCTAAGAAAATTAAACAAAAGAAAACGATCTAACGACCGAAATGTGCAAAAAAGATAGAAAATCATGTCATAAAAATAAAAAAATGCTATAGAGAGTTATTGAAAATTAAAAAATAAACAAAGAAAAACAAGATACAATATAGAAAATAAAAGAAAATTAAAAGATACACACAATCGGCTACTAGCATTAAGACTGATACTATCCGTATCAAACAAAGAAAAAAGAAAAGAAAAGAACAAAGTTAAATCTAGTTTTATGTCTAATAGATAAAAATTGTAGTTAGATGAATTATAAAAATTCTAGTGTTATGTGAATTATAAAAGATACATTAATGTTATATATGTTTTATATATGAACGCTTTTAGTTATATATTACATGGGAATTATAGGGTACATAAAACCTGACAATCTTTTTTGTTCATTCATTATAATGAGAGAGTTCTTACAAACTCTATCTTTAATAAAACAAAATTTTATACTTCAACGATGTCATCGAATTAAACTTGAATATGTTCGGGTACCAAATTTTTAAAAGATAACAATAAATATATTGATTGCATAATAAAATTAACACTAAAATTTTACGTGAAAACTTCTAAACGAAAAAACCGCTTACAAAATTAAAAAAAAAAAGAATAAAAGAGGATTGGGATTTTATGGAGATAATTACCTGAAAACAATTTTCCTAGAAAAGATTTACTCAAACTAAGTTTTCTATTCTTGATTGACGACTAATATTCATAAATATAGTTCAATACAGATTTCGGGTCACTAAAACTCTAAGAGAAGTTACAAGAAAAACGTAAGAATTTTAGGGTAAGAGAGGAAAAATATTGACAACAGAGGGCTCCAGAACTACTATCCTCCGGTTTTCTCTTGAAGCCTTACGTCCTTCGAACGATTTTCTGTTTCAAATTAATATTTTCTATAAGGAAATTTTATTTACGCTTAATTAGATTATTACTGCAGTATTTTTAGCAATTGGTACTACTCAAAGATCAAGAACTATTATTGGAGAATTAGATTGTGTGTTAGAGAATATGATAAAAAAAGGTTTCTTTGAAGCAGGTAAAGGTTGTGAGCTGGGAAGTGCCTGTGGAAGGATGGTTGAAGGTGAACGTTGATGAAGCAGGTTTCTATAAGGTTTATTGTTGATTGCTGCCAAATCTTAAATTCTCTTAACCAAATATCTTATAGATATAAATAATGAATAGATGTTCAGCTATGAAGCAGGAAGGTCAGTGCCAAGACAAGGATTGCATTAGTCGATAGCGTCCAACGTGCTCATGATAAGAAACATCAGCCACAGTTGTCTATTAAGTGTTGTGCTTTGTTGAAACACTATGTACTAGAATTGCCCATGTAATTCAAATAAGTTAAAAAAGGAGGAATATGATTCGCAAATGCTTGGAAAATAAGTTGAAGTATAACCCTAAATACCTATCAAAGAGAACATATAATACTTGTATGCCTGATCATCAAATTCATTCAATACCGTTCAACAAGTTGACCTTGATCTTTTCTAGCTTTGAAACAACTTCTTTCATATCAAGCCTTTCATCTGGCATCTCCCCTGAACATTCCAATGCAACTTGCAAAATTGATAATGCACAATGGTTGGCCACCAAATGTTTCTTCTCAGCGGTGCTTAGAAAATTGGTGTCTCCAACTTTGTCTAGCATACATGCTATCGACTCCTCTGCTAAATTCTTCAAGCTCATTTCTCCTATGAACATTTCATCTGTCGGCTTCTTTCCCAGGATAGTTTCCATCATAAGAATACCGAAACTATACACATCACCTTTTATTGAAACAATTCCTTCTGATCCATACTCTACATGCAAATTTATATTAAAAAGGTTTATCAGTTTCCAATAATATTGTCTGATAATGGAAAAGATATTTTATGAACTATGTAGAAACTATATGTATGCATGAATTTGAAACTAGAAGCATCACCTGGTGCCATATATCCAAAGGTTGCAAGGGTCCTGGTTTGGATCATTGAATCCTCTATGCATAAGAGTTTCGCGATTCCGAAATCGCTCAAACTTGCAACCATATCTTCATCTAATAGGACATTGCTAGGCTTTATATCGCAATGAACCACTGGTGTTGTATGACCATGGTGGAGATATTCCACAGCAGATGCAACATCTATCAGTATGTTCAGCTTTTGTAGGATATCCAGAAAATGGTTGTTGGAATACAACCATTTGTCAAGACTCCCATTAGGCATAAACTCAAGTACCAAGGCTCTGAAATCATGATTGTTAGAGCACGTACTGATGATTTTGGTTAAATTTCGGTGACGGATGTTGCGAAGAACTTCACATTCGACATCAAAGCTCTTAAAGGCTCCTTTTAGCTCTAACTTGAAGACTTTTACAGCAAATGTCATTCCATCTAGTAGAGTCCCTTGATAGACTGAAGCATAACTTCCGCTACCAAGTAATCTGCTATCGCCGAATCCATCAGTAGCTTGATGAAGCTTGGTATGAAAATTGTCTCCACATTCTTAAAGGTAACAGCTCTTCTTGCTCTTGGGTTTCTAATGTTTCTTTCTTCTTCCTTCTTTGCAAGATAACGATAATAAGAGCCACCAACAAAATTGTAGAGGCAACAGGTAGTGTTGCATAAGTTATGAGCTTTGTTCTTGCCTTGGAATTTCTCTGAGGCTTAGATTTGCATCTTGGGACATGAAGTTGAGCTGCAGTACCACAAATGCTCCATTCCCCTCAAATGAATTATTTGAGTAGTTTCCAAATGATCCTCCATTAGGAATTTCTCCTTGCAGTCTATTGAAAGAGACATTGAAATATTTGAGGTAACGAAGTTTCTCTAACGACTTGGGAATCTCTCCGAATAGACTGTTTCTCGACAAATCCAAGGATTCCAAGTTCACATGTCACCAAATGAATCAGGAATAGAACCTGTGATTCTATTATTGGATAAGGAGAAATAAGTGAGCTGTTTGAGATCTGAAACTCCAGTAGGGATATCACTTGAGAACTGATTGTTCGACAAATCCATGATATTCAGAACTTTCCAGTTTCCAATATCAATTGGAAGAGGACCAGTGAGAGAATTTGAAGACAAGTTGAGGATCAGGAGATCAGTAAGCCCTGTCAAGGTTGAAGGTATAGAGGAAGAAAACATATTGGAGCCAAGGAATAGTTGCCTTAAAGAAACAACATTACCCAAGCAAGTAGGTATCGGTCCAGACAATTTGTTGTTCGTCAAGACCAAGAATCCCAACTTGTTTAGCTGACATAACTCGGACGGGATCGGTCCTTCTAACTCATTTCCCCCAAGAGAAAGACTTTGCAGATCTTTTAATCCTCCAATTGTATTAGGAACCGTTCCTGTCAATTTATTGCCATCTAGCTTTATGGCCATTAAGCGGCTTAAGTTGCCAAATTCACTCGGGATGCTACCCCTGATGTTGCACCTAGCACCAAAGAATATCTGAAGAGAATCTGAGAAATTTCTTACCGAACCTGGGAGTTCACCACTGATCAATTGGTTGCTACCAAAATCCATGTCTTCCAAGCCTCTACAGTTTATCAAAGAAGAGAGAAAGCTCATCCCTGATGAAGATAGATTATTAACTTCCAGGTTGAGTTTCTTCAAATTTTTTAGATTGCCAAGAGTGTCAGGAATAGACCCTGAAATGTAATTATGTGACATATCAAGAATAGTAAGCTTTGAGGCATTGGAAATAAACATTGGGAATGGACCAGCAAGTTGATTGTTCCCCATATATAATTCCTCCAGTTTTGGAAGCCAAATCCCCATGTTTGATGGAAGACTTCCAGAGAGCTGATTTACTAGCAGAGAAATGATAGATAGAGTTGATGTATTGAATATTGCAGGAGGAATTGGACCAACAAGTTTGTTATCTGCCAAATTCAAGACTTCTAGATTCTTTAGGTAGCCAATCTGTTGTGGTATCATACCTGCCATAAATTAAGAAAAAATAGACTATTTGTGTGAAAAAAAGTTGTAAATTAAGAAACTTGAAAGTACAATAGTTTTCTTTTATTCATTCACCTGTGAAGTTGTTATGGGAACAATCAAACTGGCTAAGAAGAGTTAGATTCGCAATCTGTTCTGGAATTTCACCTGCAAACATAAAGTTCACATCAAACTATCTATTTCTCTCGACAGATTTAATTCCACAATTCATTCAAACTGGTCTTATATATTTTGATTATTATTCATTAACATGATTTTTTTTTTCACAAAGCAGCTCATCGTTTTTACATTCTCAAAGTACTAGGGAGAAAAAAAAGGGAAAAACTGTGAACACTTTCAAATATAATTTAAAAACATGGGCAGTGTATATTACCTTGAAAGTGGTTCTGACCAATAGAAAAGAATTGAAGCATGCTCAAATTCCCAATTTCTACCTGTAGACTCCCCTCCAATTGGTTAAGTGATAAAGATAAAGTTTGTAATTTTTTGCACTTGAATAAACTGGCTGCAATTCTTCCTGAAAGCATGTTAACGCTCAAGTAGAGTACTTTCAAATTCCGAAGACGATCAAACATATCCTTTGGAAAATGACCAGTGAGATTATTGATGCTGAAATCGATGTATTCGAGCGAAAGCAAATCGATTGGAACAAAGGGTATGGAACCGGTGAGCATATTACTGCTTAGATCAATAACTTGCAACGAAGATATATTGAAGATGGAGGAGGGTATTGAACCTGAAAGCTGGTTTCCATGCAAGCTCAAGATCTTTAGCTTTGGTAAATAGCCTAAAGAGAATGGGATTTCTCCACTGAAGTTGTTGTTACCAAAGTAAACATATTTCAGTCGTTTGAGTTTCGATAATTGGACAGGTAATCTGTCATGAAAACTGTTACCACTGATGGAAAGAAGAGAAAGGAATGATAAATTTCCCAAGTGGGGTGGGAGGGTGCCTACAAGTCCCAAACCAATAAGGTTTAGAGCCGTGACTCTGCGGTGTTTGGATCCGCAACTGACACCAAACCAATTGCAAACAGGGGAAGAAGATGACCAATTGGTTGCCAACACATTTCCAGGATCGTGGATAACATGGTCTTTCAATGCAACAAGGGCCGACTGGTCTGTAAGTATGGTGGTAGAGAAAGTAGGCATAGAAAAATGGATGATGACAAGAAGAGCAAAGTTGAGGAAAATGTTCGCCATTTGATTTTGGGTGCACAGTGGAAAGGACACATGCGTTTCCGTGGAAGTCCCTTGTTAATCGGCTTGAGTTTAAGAAATTATTACAGATATGTATACGTTGTTAATAATTAATAAAATTATGAAAAGATACTATCTTTTAATCACTCTAGATTATTTCAAAAAAAATTATTGAACAAATCTATAGCAATTGTAAGCATCCTTTTCAGTTTTCATTCGTGACATTTTTGCCCATTTTTAATCTATATAGATTCAATCCCATGATTAATCTTTTTCTTACCCCTTCCGTCGTTTTGGGACCAGGCAGGGCAGCTGGACTTTGATGTGCAATCCAAGTCTTTCAACTTTGTCTTTTTAATTTAAAAGTAATAGACCTTAAAGTATTTAAAGATTCGATTTTATATTAGGTAATAAATTTGTAAAATTTTAAAAGGAGCGAACTTAAAAATTTCAAGAATGAGAAATCATATTTTTAATAAAAATACACAAAAAATCTAACATACAAGATAATATAAAAATTTTAAGAATGCAACTGCGTCAACTCTACCCTCCGTCCATCTCTACCTTCGTCGGAGTGTACAACAAAGACAATGAGAGCTGTACCAACAACGGCCTGCCACGTAACATGACGTATAGTATAGGTTAACATAATGCTTCGTGTGGCACATCCTATGAAACGTTTCATAATTTTATTTGAGAAAGATACCCTATAAGTTTATACCATTTCCATTTCCAAATTAGTTTCAATATATAATTTGACGTGGTCGATAAAATTGTATCAGTTAATGTCAATCATCTTTAATTCCGCTAATGAAATGAAAAGGAATGTGAAATAATAGGTCAAATACACTCATTGTTTGCCAGCCAAATGCCATAGTCTTCCCGAAAAGACACGTTAGAATCTCAGGTTCTTTCTTTTTCAATGAAACTGTAATGGTAGCAAAACATCTTTAAGTTTTGTGATTAGGAGAAAAACAACTAAATGAGATGAAAGAAACAACTGCTATAGTTTGCTTTTGTGTGTGGAAAAATATGTTCAAAATTTTAATGCACTCGTTTGCTAGCCAAGTTTTATAATTTTTTGAGAAAGAGACCTTACAAGTTTTTAATAATATTTTAATAAAAAAATATAACTAAAATATATAATATTTTAAAATTTTTAGATGATAACCAGTTAAAATATTAGCCTATAAATAACAGTGGAGAGGAGATTCTTAACCCAGACTAGGAAGAGAATCCAAAATGAAAGCATTAATTGTGATACTTTCCATTCTCCTTGCTTCCACTCTCTTCATCCCCACTTCCGCCATCGCTCGACGGCTCTTGGAACGTAAGTAACCTCAAAAATATCATAAGCAATATATGCGTGTGAATGAATTTCTTTTTTTTTTTGTTGCCCCCTCGATTTTTAAGACTTACCTTGATTAATTTGGATTGATTCGGGTCACGATTTTGGTGGGTGAGTCTCTAAATGGAGATTTTTCTACATACACAATGACTCAAACTCGAAACTTACTTAAATGATATCAAGATGTTTACCACTTAACGGTTGATACGTGTGTGATATTAGTGATATATATATACATGATGGCTTCTTATTTTGCAGATAATATACCGCCGATTCAAGGCCGTACTCTTGTCTATCCCCGGAATTACCCCCCATTCTCCAGCTATTCCAACAATCCGTACGGGTATTACAACAACCCGTATGGGAATTACAACAACCCGTATGGGAATTCTTTGCCCTTTAGCCAAACTGTATAGGTATATAGATGGGGAAATTCTGAAGATCTCCCAAGTGTCATTTGTATTTTCATAACTAGTTTGTTTACCAGATGGAGTGTGGTACCTAATAAGACAAAAGGTCCTTTAAGATAACCTTTTAATTTATCTGATTATAGTTCTAAACTTTGGTGTTGTGACACTAAAATCACAAAATACTTATTCAAGTTCAAATTAATAAAAATATATAAAATTAATTTATTAAATATATGAATTATGACAAATACAAACATAAACCGTAAAATTAACTAAAATTCCATGAATGAACGTAATTTCACCTATGAAACAAACTAAAATTAAGTAAAAAGATAATTATAATGTGATGTAAAGAAATTAAAATAGAAAAAGGTATTCAAAATAATATCAATATAAAATAAGATCCAAGTAGAGATGAGATTTAATATGATTTGATCTTGCATACTTCCACGGATGAAAGAAACATAATATATTATGAACATTGAAGATCACAAAAAATAAATAAATAAAAGAGGAAATTTCATATTATAAAAAAAAACTAAAAAGAATGGGCTATAGAGCTCATTATGTCCTTTAAGTGCAAGTCAAACAACACAAAGTATAACATGCATTAAATTCACAGTAAACTATAATTTGGACATAAAATATTCATACAATATCAAATATAATATGCAAGCGATGCAATAAATTGCCCATTTATATCATCATACGATTACTCGGTGATTACTGCAAATTTGGAACTTTAGGGTTTATTGGAATAAGACTTTAACATGTCACATCATCAGTATTTCTTAACAGTAGCTAATGACAACTAATGACAGTGATTATAATAACAAAATAAAAGTTTAATAATTATAATGCAAGTTATAAAAATTTGATGATCAGAGTAAAAGTTTCTTAAAAGTTCAATGACCACTTGATTTAACCTTCAAACCATAAAAGTACGTATTCGAATTCAAAAAGAGAATTATAATGTGATGTATAAAATTAAAAAAAAAAAATCAAAATAATATTAATGTATAATAAATTAAAATTCACGTGATTTGATTTTATTTATCTCTACAAACAAGAGAAACAAATAATCTATTATATGTGATCGACTAATCCAGATCGGGTATTATAGAGGCGAGAGCGACCCTCTTAATCCAGTTTGCTCCATTCACAAGTATTATGATTTGAACTCCTTACCTTACTTAAGGGACTTGATGCCTAATCTCACTAGACCAACTGGTTGGTTACGACATTCATCTTAACAATAGACAATAATAGATAATAGGGTACTCTTTTCTTATGGTGTTTGGAGGAGCTCTTATGGAAATTTGACGGAGGTCGAACATGGCAGAAGAGCTTTCCCCTCTTTTGGTGAACTTAAAGTCTTCTCAACATTCAAGGTCGAGATCGAATACGATGGCAGTATAATTTAGACTTGGGACAGGGATTAACAGGAGGTCCCCTAGGTTTCGGAGCTGCAAAATGAATAGCCCTATAATTCCCATGTTATATATAATTAAAATCATTTATATATACTATTATTTTACTTACAAATGGGGAGCTGCCTTCCTCGAGCCATGGTGAAAGTGGAGATGAAAAGAGTGGAAGCGAGGAGAATGCATAGTATTTCAAATAATGCTTTCATTTTGGATATATTTATTACTAATCACTTGCTCCTTTGGGTTCAGCCTCTCCACTGCTATTTGTAGGCCAATGTTTCCATCAAATTATATTATTCAAATTCACTAAAACAAGAAAATTTGACAAAGGAATGACTGAAGAAATTTCCATGGCAGAACTAAGTCCCAGTTCTTTAGTTTATATTCTCACTTGGAAAAATTTAGAATTGATGGAGTGAAGAAGTTCCAAAATTCAAACCAAAGAAACCTCAAATTTCCAATCAAATTGTAAATAGTTTATTAACATGTCTTTATAAAAAAAATATTATAGTGATATATGTTAGTAAATTAATATCTTTACTAAATAGTTTAGTGTCTAACGTTTATTTCATTTTAGTTTTGTGTCTAACGTTTCATTCAGTTACTTAAAATGGATCAAATTATGACATACCGTTAAATTTGACCGTTAACACATTGAAAATACCACCTGACATATTTTCTAATATTAATAAAAGGCTCGTTGTGCTCTGGACATGGCATCCCGGCGACCTAGGCATTAGAAAGTAGAAACCATCAAACAACGTAAATAGATGAATATGGAAGGCTGTGATTTAAGAGCTTAAACCCATAAAACTGGAACTCACCAAGTTCATATGCCTTGGCAGTAACTTTAGCAGCAACATGGGCTGATATCTTTCTGATATTCTTGAACGGTGGGTAAATCATTCCCTTTTCGTACTCTCCATGTATATGCTTTTTCTGTCATGCACTCGGCTTGCGATGTCGGGTTCGATAGCGCCATAATAAAGGGCTGTCTGCAAGTCATCCCTTATAATGATCAGTCTAAAACTCATCAGTTGAGAATTGAGATGATCTCAAAGGCACAACTTGAGAGAGATAAAGAACCTTATTCAATGATGCCATGGCCTCCACAACCTCTTTAGTGAATTGTTTTACCACACCAGATGTTCCAATCAAGATAGTTGGTTTGATCGCCTGGATAATCGAACATATAGGTAGAAGAAACAAAACGATGATGAAACATTTCGATTCGAACAATAACTCACGATGAGTTACACACCTCGACGGTATTTATGAGTTCCGTGACGGGTTCGTGGTCATGAGCCCAAGGTTTCTTGAAGTCTTGAAGCGATTCCTTGCGAGAGGCAACGATCAATCCCTGCAACATGATTCAACATCATCACAGTGATAAAAGAAGAGCTACCATCTCTTTATACAAGATAGTTTCAATGAAATTCATGGTACCTTTGAGTCTACAAGCCAAATCTTCTTGCGGTTCTCCTCGATTGGTTTTCCGTTCTGTCGAGAGACCTAATATGTTTAGCCATAAACCTTTCCTAAAGACACAAATACTTAGATTTAGAAGATTGTTGCCTGCTCTGAGATCTCAAGTGCTATGAGGTCAGCTATACCAGTTCCGGCCTATCAACAACCTAAAAGAAACACAATTAAGACATTGTACGTGTGAGATGAGAAGCAAGTATTGTATAGGAAAGTTCAGTTCCCTTATTTCCATTGTGTTAACCGAGCCTTACCTCGCCAGCACCGAGGAACAAGAACGTATGGTCGGCGAGAGTTCCACCGAGCTTAGTGCGGGTGGCATTTTTAATGGGTTAACGGTAAAACTTAACGGTCTGTCACAGTTTGACTTATTTTGAGTAATGGAATGAAACGTTAGGTATCAAACTAAAACGAAATAAACGTTAGACTCTAAACTAAAAAAATAGGCATTGGTTGGGTACTTTTTTTTTATATTTAAGCATTTTAAATATTATATATAATATTAAATTTTAGTTTTAATTTTAAGGGTAAAGTAAATAAATGGTCCCCAATTATAGGTATTACTTTGTCGATTATAAAAAGTTAGAAAATGATCTTTTGACGGTATTACTTTGTTGAGTCTCTCAACTATTTAAAGTTATAAAATAATTACTTGATTATTTATTTATTATAAACTCTCCATTTTAAAAAAAGTTGATAGACGTTTGAGCTGGACATTAATTTGTTGATTGAGATATGCTAAAATTTGATTCCAGGGTCATTTTGGTTGTTTAGCCCTTTGAGATTCTGATATCAAATTTTATCATATCTTGATTAATATGCTAACGTTCAATTCAGAGTGTTGTCAATGTTTTTAACAGAAAAAGATAAGCTTGAAATATATGAATAATCGAATGACCATTTTGTAACTTTTAATAGTCGATGGACTCAATAATGTAACACCAATATAATTGAGAGACTATTTTATAATTTTTAATAATCAGGAGACTAAACAAAATAGTGTCTTATAATCAGAGACCATGTGTATACTTTATCCCAATTTTAATTATATTATTGAGTGCTTGATTCGTGGAGGTGAGTTGTACTCGAACTCAGGGCCTCTAAAGAAAATAAGACTCCCTTTAGGTCTTTAATTGTTGAAGTCATTTGATGGGTTCAAACTAACAATTTACATACATAACTATTCCAGATTAGATATTTTAAAAACAACAATTTTAAAATAAGACTAGTTATAGATAACACAATCGATTTATAGAAGGGTCATATTATTTGACTAATATCCGTTTTTCATCTGAGCAATAGTTATAGATAACACAATCTTTTGTTTTCTGCTTCCTGTTGCCGCTTTGATGAGTCCTTGCAGTTGCTGATGTTTTGAGTGCCTTTTGGTTTGCTTTTACTTGGTGTTTGGGGTGTTACTATGGCATGTGCATACTGTTGTTTTGTTTTCTTTTGTGTCATTGGCTTGGTTCCTGCAATTTGTTTTCTGCTCTTTATCAGTACCTAGGATGTGAGAGTGGTTAGTGAGATCCTTTGCTGGTTTCTGATAATTTTTGTTGGGATAATTGGGAGAGTATGCGAGTGTGCACACTTGAAATATTGGCCTACAAAGTGATTAGTGATATTATAGTTGGAAAAGTCATATTACAGTTCGATTTTAGTATAATTATGTGTAATTATATAATTGTAACGTATTTGAATAATCATTGTAATTTATGGATCCCATTGAATTTGGTATAATTAAAAGTCTGCAATTAAACTCTTTAATTCTTAGGGGAGTAGTCAGAATTAGTGTGATTACATATATAATTACGCTTTTCTTTTTTGTTAATACAAACCAATTAAAGAGGAATTATCTAGACTCCAGCAAATCTTTAAGCAATGTTGTGATCAGCTCCACCGTTGGATCCGTGAAACTAGTAGCACCAACAGGATAACCTCGGCTCAACACCTCAAGCCTATCTGCAGAGCATTTTGTTTACGACTTATATGTCTTACTCTAACATTCCAGGAACGGTCACACAGCTCTCGCACCCTATCAACCAGCGCACTTCCAACCAAAGCATCTGAAGAACTATTACAAATCTTTGGAACCTCAAGATTGTTTGTTTCAAGCTCGATATATCGAAAACCTAACTTCCACGCGTGCAACAAGAGATAGTGAATAACCCAGAGTTATGCAGATAGTGTAACACTCTCAAACCGAAATGGGTGATCCAATTCGATTTGAGGTGTCACATTAGGGTCATCGAAGTAACCAACAATAAAAATCTAGAAAAAAATTTAAACCATTTTAAACCGTATAATAATTTATAAATAAAAACATAAGTTTAGAAATCATTCATATATTAAAAACAGAATTCAATAATATCTAGTATCAAACAAGCTACAGACTCTAATATACATACAAAATGTGACTTATATGCCCCCTAATGACATCTATACCGAACTCTGTAAGTGACTCAAAGGAACTCCAATTACTGATGTCGATAACTACATAAGATTGATTCTTTTAACCTGAAATGGTAAGTAGTAAAGTAAGCTTTGGGAAAGCTTAGTAATACAAAACTACCGGATGATGCTAAAGGACAAACAAATATATAGTAAAGCATAAAATTTTCTTAGCGATCCAAGCATATACAAGTGCTAGTGATGAGTTGAGGTTCGTTAATTAATTTTTCATGTAACAGTCAGGAAACCTACAGTTCAGAGGAAACATTTAGAGAGACAGTTTCAAGAGATTGAGTTGGGGAGTCTAGTGTGTTCCAACAAAACCATAAATAAGTGTACATATAGTTAAAAAACAATTGTAGTTTATTTTAGTAAAACAAATTTTAAAATTATAGTAATACCCTCCAACCGAACACCGAGATGCAGTTCTGGCTATAAAGACATACCCTAGGCCCATTACGCGTAGCAGCCAATCTAAGGGAGTATGTTGTGCCATAAAGACTTACCCTAGCCGAAGCGTAGGACCCCACCTAAAGGGGTGCTTTAGGTCCATAAAGACTTACCCTATGCACAAACTAAATGAGCCATCCTAAGGTGATGCCTTAGGATCCATAAGGTTTTACCCTAGGTCCATTGGGCCTAAAAGCCTACCCAAGGGTCATCTTAAGTCCATAAGTACCAACTTGATCGAAATTGAACCTGTAGAGACTCCATAATAGATCCCAGATAGTACCCGATATAAATTAGATTAAACATGAAAAATTTTAATATCATAATCATGAGCCAGATATATTTTGCATCAAAAAACAAAAATCATAGATCGTGTTTCTAATTCAAATAATAGTCATATTTTTAAAATCAGAGAAACTATTTGTGTACATTAGAAACACACTAGATAATTAAATTATTTTTTGGAGGTATTTGACAATTATCAGGAAGGGAAACACAAAACTTTTATAAATTGATCTGATCCAAATATCAGATTCATATCAAAAGGGTTCGATTACTAAATGGTCTAATCAGACATTTAGAAATTGATACTTCTGGAGCATTTAGGAATCGGGTGCACTAGGAAGGTATTCAACAATCTTTACATCAGAATTATTTATGATTCGGATATAACAGGAGTGATTCCATTATTCAAGCCATCATGGGCATTTTAGACATTTTGATTCTTGAAGAATTCTTAGTAATTTAACACAATTAGGGTAAACGATTATTTTCAATATTCAGGATTTGTATCAAATTATCAGGATTTCGAGTCAAATCAAACTAAACAAATTCCAACACTATGATACTTGCCAATCATTCGAACCAAGATACTTCACGAATATTCACTTCTTAATACTGATTGTGCTAGTTGAACTGATTACCTTCAGAATCATCATTGAATGGATCTTGAGGAGAGGAACAAGTATTCAGGTGGTATTAATTTTATTTATGTATTGCAATAGTATAAAAAATGACAGATGTGCTTGCTTCGTGCTCCATAACCATTAGGGGCGTTACAACATTTAGGTTTATCGGTGTTTCTAAAATTTATCCAATGGCATTCACTTATTTTTAGATCATAAGGGTATTTAGGTCATTTTAGTACTCGAGTTTATTTTAGTCATTTTAGAGCTCTAGAGTATTTTGGTCATTTTAATCAATTCAGGTATATAGAGTACTTCCGATTAATTGGTCTTTAGATATTTATTCATAAATTAGAATATGTATGTTACGATCTCGAATCTGTAGTTCTATCAAGTCAATAATGAATTCTTAGGTCATTTTCACTATCAAGGGAGATTTAGGCCCCTTTTACATTTCAAGGGTATTTTAGTCATTTCATTCAATTATGTCATATACATTACTTCCAGTAAATTAGTCTTCAGGTGTTTATTCAGGAATCAAAATTCTAAGTCTTTTGTCATCTTGGAGGTTAAAATCAATTATTGAAATTTTCTAAACAAAACAAGTATTTAACAGATTGATTAGTAGTTTTATCGCATCAAGCATGACTTTTCAAGGTTATTTCCACTTTTAGGGACAATCATTATCTTTTTGCACCACGAGGGTATTTTGTTCATTTTCCTTTTAAACATTTCAGAGATCAAATCCTTTCACATGAATAATCGAAGTTAAAGGTTTCGATGTTAACAATTTTATTAATCATTTGAGTCTTAATTAATTTACTAACATTATACTGAAATCAGAGTAGGTTTAAAATAATCAACCATAACATATGTCCAAATCATATTTATATGCGCTGACCAATTATCAACATGTACCGTAAAGCATGTATAGGGTTATAAAGTATTATCTCGATTTTTGAGCTATATCGATCATCCATTTAAACTTAATTTGATCACTTTCGAACTTCAATTTGACATCCCATAACATCTTGGATACATGGCAAATTGAATTACATTAGAAACAGAACTTAAACGTGAAAACAAAATTGAATCGAAAGATAAAATACTAAAAAACAACTTATAATGTTCGAATTTGGAAAAACAACGAATCAGGATAAGTGGCTTGGAAAAAAGTTAACATCGATCCACAACCGGTCAAAGGCCAACGGTGGTTAATGGCTCAGCTTGGCAGCCTGGCTCAACTCAGCTCGATGACTTAGCTTAGCTTGACTAAACTGGATCGGATCGGATCGGTTAAACTAGACCGGTTCGGCTCGGCTACAGAGAAGCCCCACTCATAGGGCAACATAGAAGCCCCGCCTGTAGGCGCGGCATGTGAAAGCGTGTGCGGCGGTGGCGACGATCAAAATTTCACCAAACTTTCCATAATCGAAGTTTAAGGACCAAGGAGTCTCTTACTGGTGCTATTTTATGACGAAGAACAATGGAGGGGGGGTTTCACCACGGCCGAAAACTTCCTTCTTGTCACCCCTCTTCAAGCCAACGATAAAGACAAATCCGAGGACACCGGTCGACTCCTCTCAACTTCAGGAACACAGTGATGTTGGCGGTGAGACAAACAAAGCACTGGACGGCGACAAAACGGTGATAAACACTTCTTGGGGTGAGATGAAAAAAACTTAGAAGCGGAGAGAGAGAGAATGTTGCTAGTCGAGTCCAACAAGTTGGGGTCATATCTCATTTCTACCTAAGAATGGTAAAATTGCCCTTCAAGTCTTTGGGTTTCTCCTATTTCATGAATTTATTCACTATTTTAATAAAATATTAATTTAATTCCTTTAAAAAATAAAGAAAAATTATAGTCCCTAGGTTGGGGTGCGACAGACATCTGCCTAGACTTCGCGTGAAATCAAAGAGGCCTAACAGCGCTATCCGAGTTTTCCTTTGTCCAGCCTGTTGGGGGTCGTTTCCACACCAAGGGAGTTTTGGCCAACACTCTATTACTGACTGCATTAGTGGCCTGAGTTGTCGCTATTTCCCCAAAAGCTCGGTTACAACATGCCATGAATTCCTGACTGCATTAGCGGCCTGATTACGCTTTTTAATTTTATAATTAATATTATTTTAAATTTTAATTTTACAGTTGTGTGATTACAATTTGTACTAGCAAAAATGAGAAGAATTATGATGTACTTACACTTTATTTATCTAACATGTCTAAAGAATTAGAATTCCTAATAATTACACAATAATAATTACATTTTCATTCAATTATATGAGGCTATAAATACATCAAATTAGTGTGACAAATGATTAAAATATCATTTCTTTAAAATTATAATTAAAATTATTGTGGTGCTCGTTTTGTTTCTTTACTAAAAGCTTGTGCAAGCTGTATTTTGATTTTTCTTCAGTCAATTGACTCTAATTTTTCCAAGTGAGGGAATAAACCAAAGAGACCGCTGTTATACTTGGGTTTTCTTTGTCATCTTCTTTTTTTGGGTAGAAAAATGGGCCATGCATTCATTGTCCGCCATGGAAATTTCTTCACTCCTTCAGCCATTGTGCACATTTGGCCTATAAATATTGGCCTACAAAGGGATTAGTGATAGTATAATATTATTCAAAATGAAATCTTTATTAGTGAGATTATGCATTCTCCTCACTTTCACCCTCTTCGTCTTCACTTTCAGCATGGCTCGAGAATTCAAGAGTAAGTATCGTCAACACATGCAACACTTCTTTGTGTTAATATCCAATTACATGGATGCTTGTATGTATGTGAATGATTTTAATTATGTATAACATGGGGTTTTTAATTTTACAGAAATCCAACCTCCTATCGAGATCTGCTTCCCCCCTCCCTGCCATATTCCTTCTTCACCCAAACCTTGAATGTGATGGGAAACTGAGAGATTAATGTCAGAGTTATTACCTTATAAGATGCAGTAAATAATTGTTAAGAGCTCGTGTCCATGACTTCTTAAGGCTTGATTACTCTCCCATGTATCTAAAACAAAGACTGCTTCCTCTTTAATAAATTCATTTACCTTTTATAATTCAACCAAATGCTTAAATAGTTTAGTTTGATTAAATATAAACATTTTATTTCGGATGACCAAAACATTAGTATCCTAAAAGTTGAGTAATCGTTGTTGTTCTTAGAGACCACGAGTTCGAGCATCAATGATTGTAAGGGTGATTTAACGTTAATTTTCATATGATCGAGGGTCAGTTTGGTGCAACTTTTGAAAAGTGACTTTTAAAGGTACTGCAAAAACGAACTTTTAAAAGTGTTGCGGTTTAAAATTTAATTATTTAAGATTGTTATTAAAAGGTGAGTTCGAAAAGATAAAATATTCATTATAGACATTATATTGTAAATTAAAAGTATAGCATTTAAATTACATTTACACTTATATATGAATCATATCAATTTAAACTATAATAAATTCAAAAAAATATTATTATATTTGAATCATATCAATTTAAACTATAATAAATTCAAAAAGTTATCATTATATTTGAGTTATATCAATTTGAACTATAATAAATTTTAAAAAATATTATTATATTTTAATTATATCAATTTAAACTATAATAAAATTATAAAAAATATAAATAAAAATATAATTATAATAAAAATATATTTTATAATAACTCACTATTAATATTTAAATATATAAACCATGAATCTTATTTATTCATAAATATTTAAAATAAATTATTAAGTAATAAATTATTTTTTAAGGATATTAGTATTAAATTATTAAAATAAAATATAAATACAAAATTAAGTGTAACTCATGCATTAGTAAGGGTAAAATTATAATTTGTTTCCAAACGTAAAGTTGAAAATAAAAAAGTAGAAATTCTAGCTTTTGTAGTTGATTTGAAACTATCGTTTCCACCATAATTTTTTTCATCTTTCAGTTTAACATTAAATTTACGGTCAAAACGAATTTTTTAATTAAAAGTGATTTTAAAAATTCACACTAAGCTGGGCCATAATCAGTTAGGATGCATTAGTGCAATTACCATCCCTTAATTCTATCTTTTTCCAAGTGAGAGAATAAAGCAAAGAGAATTCAAGAGTAAGTAACTTTAACTTGCCATTTTCATTCTAGATAGCACATAATTTGAAACCAACAGCATTGCCAATAGACAACATTAAAATATGATTGCCAATAGACAACATTAAAATATGATTTTATGACATCTCAATCAGTAGGTTAATATCTAGCTCAGACGACCTTCAATTATTTAACAAAAAAATACGAGTTTAGAACATATGAATAGTCAAGTGATATTTTATAACGTTTAATAATCGATGAACTAAACAAAGTAACGTCCTATTGTCAAGAGACCATTTATGTACTTTACCTTAAATTTGTATTAAAAACATTTTACTGCTACATCTATAGTCAGTTAGGGCACATTTGAAAAGTTAAATTATAATTAGATTTTAGTGTAATTATACAATTGTGGTGTGTTTGGAGAGTTATTATAATTTGTGGATCCCATGCATTGAATTGAGTATAATTAAATATCTCCAATTACACTCTTTAATTCTTAGGGGAGGGCTGAGAATTAGTATAATTACGTGTGTAATTACACTCTTCAATTTTATAATTAATATTATTCTAAAATTTAGGGGTTGTTTGTTTGGTTCTGAATGGAACCATTCAGCGTTGAATGTTGAACCATTCAGCATTTAGCGTGTTTGTTTCTCACCTCTAAATGAAGACTGTGCTGAATGATTCAGAGCTAATTCATACAGAGCCTCTGAATCATTTAGCATTTGAATTTTTTAATGATTAATCATTCTGAAGTAAACAAACATCCCCTTACTTTTACAATTGTTTAATTACAATTTGTATCATCAAACATGACGATAAAGAATTAATATGTAATTACACTTTATCCATTTATTGTCTCGAGAATCAAAATTCTTAATAATTACACTCGAGAGTAATTATTAAGATAATTATCATATAGGTAAATTATATTATTTCTTACTGAATTTTATTCTTTTTCATATTTTATTCAATGTGTTTTTAATTTTTTTAATTTACTCATTAAACTTTTGAATTATTCTTGTTTTGATCATTCTGGATTATTTTATTATTGTTTATGTATGATGATTCATATGATTTATTATCATATAGCTTGACTCGGCTCGTTTACGCCCCTAAGTTCAATATAGACTAATTTAATTGATCGTAAATTAATTGGTATTATTATATATGGTGTTCATTTTGTTCCTCTAATAAAAACTTGTGCAAGTATTTCTGAATTTTCTTCACTCCATTAATTCTATTCTTTTCCAAGTGGGAGAATAAACCAAAGAGATACTTCGGGTTTACTTGGTCAACTTTTGGTAGAAAAATGGGTCATGCATTCATTGTGTGCCATGGAAATTTTATCACTCCTCCATTATCAATACAGAAGAGTTGACTTGTGAAATATACGGTCTAAATTATCTTTGAAAAGTAGTATGGTTTTCATTTTAGCGAGTCAGTGTGAACACTTGAAATGTTGGCCTATAAATATGACCTACAAAGTGATTAATGATAACCCAAAATGAAATCTTTATTTGTGATGTTCATCTTCATTCTCCTCGCTTCCACCCTCTTCGTCTCCACTTTCAGCATGGTTCAAGAATCCAAGGGTGAGTAACACTTGTCTGTGTTAATATCCAGTTACATGGATATTTATATGATTTTAATAACATGGGGTTTTAATTTTGCAGTGCAACCTAATGTCCAGATCTGTTCCGGCCATCATTGCCATATTGATTCTTTACCTAAACCTTGAATGTGATGAGCAACGGAGAGAAGTTTCAGAGTTAAAATAGATAATAATTTGCAAGTTGCGTGTAATTCTCTACTTATATTTTGTTTGTGATAAATAATTATTAAGAGCTCGCGTCCGTGGTTTCTTAAGACTTAACTACTCTCCCATGTATCTAAAACAATGAGTGCTTTCTCTTGAATAAATTCAATTGCTTTTGATAATTCAACCAAATGTTTACATATTTTACATGGACCAAAGTTTGTTTCTTTTTTTTGGGGGGGGGGTAAATTTATCATATTATCATTTTTATCATTCATTGAAAATATAGGTTTAATTGGAACCAAAGACAACATATAGCTCTAGCAAAAAAAAAAAAAAAAAACAAGATCAAAGAGCTAATGAGACTTTTTATTTTGTTTCTCTCCTTATTTTCATTCTTCGTCGTCGGAATATGGCACTCTACTCTATTAAAAGAGATGAATCACGATCAACCGATTTACAGTTAAATTTTTTTACTTTAGTTTATTGAACTGAAAATTACTAACGTTGGTGTATCAAATAATGTGTGTATATATAGAAAAAAAGGGACAAAAGAGAAAAACTTTGAACTCTATTTGTAAGGTTTAAGAATAGCTTCAAAAAATGTGCAAATTACATCATTCCAATATCCACACTAAAATGGAACATAAAAAAAAAATTCAGTAATCGTTTTCATGTTGTAGATGCATACTCCTCGACAAATTATTTTGTTAAATCACTTTTCTTGAAATTTCTCCTTCTTGAAGATTCCACCTTTAGATCCTAACATTGACTTATTTTTGGGTTGTTTTCTCTTCTTGAAGTCTTTGACTTCCATCATGTTGACTTAGCCTCTTGAAGGCTTCTTTGTCGAGCTTTTTGACATTAACTCTATTGTCCTCTTTTATTCAAACTATAACAATCAGTTCTTTCACGATCATTTCCTTTTATGTTTTAGATAATTCTTGAAGTCACTCCATCTAGGAGGTAATTTCTCAATAATAATATATACCTGAAAGGATTCACATATGGTCATTCTTTCAACAGGATTTTCATTAATAAGTAGTTGGAGTTTCTCCACTTGTTTTACTACTAGTTTAGAGTCAACCATAATAAAATTCAAGAACTTGGCAACTAAAAACTTTTTAGCTCTAGCATCTTTAGTTTTGTATTTGTGGTTCAATGCCACAATTTCTTAGTTATTTCATAACCAACATATACCGGATACAAAGAATATTGTAGATTATTCAATATTATATTCCGACATAGTTAATCAATTTGCTTCCAAGCATCAACAACATTGAAAGCAATAGCATTGTCTACCCTTATCCTCATTCTTTAAGAATAGGAGGATATTCCTTCAAGAACTTTAAAAGATTCATAATGGTCAGATTGAAAACCATCTTCTGTTGTCACATCTTGAATTTTATTATTTGAATGTTTTAGGATTTTATCCTTAGTTGTTTTCATTTTATTTTTAGGGTTTTAGAAAGCTATAAATACCCCTTAGGGAAAGCTTGAAACATACTTCAATTTAGTTTGTTATTTGCTTCTTTAATTTTATAAAAAAGTTTTCTTCTTTTCATCTATATCTTTACTTTATGTTTCTATTTTACTTTCTTTAAAATGCTAAGTATGATTTCTATCATGCTTAGCTAATTTTCCAATAAGCCAAAGGCTAAACCGATGACTTAATTCCGATTGTGAGAATTGAAAAACATCTAATATCTTCATATATAATTCTCAATTTTCTGAAAACTTGGATTGACAATCGACATTTCCTTTAAAAATCTCTACACTTTCAATTCAAAAAGAGCTCGTTGGTTTGATTTTTGTTCCGATTTAAAGTTGGGAGGAAGGATTGGCTTGTATGGTATTCGACTTCTTATGAACACACTTTGCGACGGTCTGCTAAGGGAATTGAGATAGGGTTCGATTCTCATTGAGACAACATAACCCGAGTCGGACTTTTCCATCGCTTAAACTTTATTGGTGTTAGTGACGAGAATCAAGGTTAGTCCAAATAAAGATTGAATTCCAAAGATTTTGCTTTGAATTGATGGTTTACGAGAGAGAAAAGTAAGTTACAAGGGTTGGGCCTTGTAGAGTGTAAGCGGTATGTATCCGGAGTAAAATCCTCTTCAATGATCAATTGGAATTGAGACAAAGCGAGGCTTGAGGTTGTTTTACTTAATTAATCTTTCTTTTCAAAATTTACCTTGCTTTATTTCTTTTACTTTATATTTCAAA